GAAAATTATATGAGAATTAAAAACTTGAGAAATCATGACTATTTTTTAAGAAGCAATAAGGAGGATGTACAACGATGGATTTATCATATGAAAGGATAAACAATCATCTGCAACAGATAGGCTTGCATTGAGATCCATAGAATTTCATTTGATTCAAATGTCCATTGACTATAACATTTCACTGCAGCTCTACCTTTCATATTTTATTTAAATTAAACATGTTTAAATAAAATCATTAAAATACCTTCCCATGTGCAATAGCTATATCAACATCTGGAAAAGACTGTTCAAGAAAATCCATCACTTCTTGAAGCCCTGTAAGCGGCAGTCTTTATTTAGTTTAACTCAAAATACACAATATGATAGATGAGTATCATCACTATTATTGACCATAGAAATACAAAAAGAATATTATAAAATTACTCAAGCATCCTAACAAAAACAAGATGAAAGGAAAGAGGCTGTGTAAGCGCACAAATACCTAACAACATTTGAAGGGGATACCTTTAATACGTGGTAAGACATAAAACACTTGGCCACCACGTTCAATCTCATACTGGATTGCTGCTATTACCTTCTCTTTACTGAAACCAGAAAGATGGGTTTTAATAGGAACCCTTTCTGGAGGTGGAGTTGAGATCAAACTGGAAAAAGAAAAAACAGAGAAATTATAGCATTATCATTTTATAGAACTGAAAAACTTTCAATGTGAGATGAAACTTTTAGAATGGAAAGCTCCATGAATTCTCCTTTGATACATCTTCTACTAGGAGATTAGTTCCATCCAAAAAAAAAAAAAAATGGAGATTAGTTATCAAGCCCATGGATGAAATATCAACTAAATGTCTCCTTAACATGTTCTCCAGGGTCCAGGCACAAAATATAATTTTAACATGGTAATCAACTATTCTTGGAAATACTAATTGAATTTAAATATTATTCACCCTTTTACATGATCAGATCATCATGATGCCCCAAGGGGGGTGTCTCAAATGATTAAAAGTTTAAGACTCCAAGTTAAAGATCTTGAGTTTGAATCTTGAAATGGGTGAGGAGAGATTTAAGGAAAGCGAGGACTATCCCCTGTTATATAGACCATCCTCTAATGTACCAAAAAAACGGATCCAGCATCATGATTCTTATTTGTCATATGTATATTACCTAGCATCACGAAAACCAGTCAATGCTAAATAAAGTGTTCTTGGAATAGGTGTTGCGGACAGAGTAAGAACATCAACAGAAGTTTTGAAAGAAGCAATCCTCTCCTTTTGCTTAACACCAAATCTCTGTAAAGCAAATACATAAACATGAAA